GAAGGCTTAAGGCAAGAAGTAGGACCCGTGTAAATATCGGATCAGCTTTCCAACGCTGGAGAGAACTCAAGGAGCGGAAGGCCTGCGATCGGATGCCGAGGTTGCTTTGTTTCTTCTCGATAGGTGAGTAACACCGTGTCTGTGCCGCAACAGCTAAAGTCTGTCTAATACACTGGACGCGACAAAGCGAGCGTTGAAAATCATTTGAAATTTGTATCAATACGTCATGAATAGAACGCAGCAGCAGTTTTCTGTCGGGGATTTTTCGTGCTGCGCCGCATCCAGTGTAGGCCATAGATATGTATATATATCTATGGTGTAGACAGCATCACTGATTATGAGTTCTATAGTATTTTGTCGCGCCGTGCCACTCGCGTCCGGTGTAGACACGGTGTAACATTGGTTTTGCTTTGTTTCACAGAACTAATCGTTGCCTGGGTTGCGTACGTATGTGTGGGGCGGAGCTATCAAAATAGGGGCGAGACCCTTTTGGGGTAGGGGCGTGTTTGTTTTGGTGATTTCAAATGTCAACATTGGCTACCAGAAATCGCTTACCCCACCTTTAAAGACGATTTTCTCAGTATTTTTATTTTTTTTGCACCCTCAGATTCCAGATTTTCAAACAGTATCTCGGCCAAATGTTGTCCAATCCTAACAAACCATACATCAATGGAAAGCTTATTTGTTCAATCTGAATTTCAAAAAACGCGTAAGGTTTATCTCATGAATATTAATGAGCTCCCACTAACGTCTCCCGCTGACCCTCCAATGCCGACACTTGCCTCATTAAAATTAAGAAGCGGGCCTTCGCCGTAGTAGGCTTCGGGAAATTAGCGTGCTGGAGACGGGGTGCGCCGTCATCGCGCTTTCTGCTTCGGGTTACGCCATCATTCATCCAGGGTCATTCGGTTCACCGGGGTAACGGAGATGATGGCCACATCACGGGCGCGCGTGCCTCCGTGCTCCTCATGACCGACCGGCGGCGGCGGCAGCAGCAGCAGCAGCGTGCGTGTTTGGGTTTGTCTCACACCGGGCTGGCGTGGATCCGATCCCACCGTCTGGCGGAGCGTCTGCCAGGTAACGTACTGCGTGCTTCGCGTTGTTTATGTTACCTCCATCAGCGAGCAGCATCACGGACAAGGCCGAGCATCCGCGCTGGAGCATCACTGGCCGCCGCCGGGTGGGGATGCTCCTCGGCCTTGCCCGTGATGCTGCTGGACATAACAAGCGCTTATTTACACATCGAGCGCTATTTTGATAGAAATGTACATTATAAACACATTCAAACCACATCCTGCGTGGTACTATTGATGCGCGTCCACCATTTTACGCATTTCGGACAAATAGAAAATAAGAGCGCGTGCAATTCACATCCTCTGGTCTAAATGCATGTGTGTTTGTATTGTTATCACAGCCGTGTTTTTGAACAAACATTCATTAATGTTCATTGGCACGCTTGTGCTTGTTCGTGGCGCGCTGTCAGTCCGCTGTATGGATTTATTATGATGGCGATGGATTATATAACAGCTGCTCAATATGACACAAAAGCCGCTGTTTCATTGTGGTTATTGTGATTTGTCGTGTTAATTGCTGTCACATCTGTGTGTGTGTGTGTGTGTGTGTGTGTGTGTGTGTGTGATGCCCAACCGTGTCCGCCATTGTTTTTGTTGACATTGGTTTGGGTGGCTTCTGTTCTTTAGACATCTCGTTTATTCTAACGACGGGAATTATGCATCTGTTTTATTCGACGTGTGTCAAAATGAGCCTCTTTGGTAAGGAATATGTTTTTAATTTCTGAATTTAAAATAATTTTGATGTTTTCTTGATTTGAAGTCAAAAAGGTCTTTGTGGTGAAACTGTGAAAAAAGCAATAGAAAAAAAGCTAATTTTGTTATATTTTATTGTAATTTCTTTAAAAATAATTAATTTTGTTTTAAAATGTTATTAATATTTAATAAAAACAAAATCTGTGTGGTGTAATCAATGTGCAGGAAGCCATTTTGTTGTCATGGAATCATGTTTGATTCCAAGATGATGCTAAATAAAAAAAAAAAAATGATAAAGGTCTAATATTTTAAGTGATTTTAAGATCATTGCAAGGCTGATTTGGAAGTTCTGAGGTAATGAAGTGAAATGTTTGATTCCAAGGATGTAAGATTCTAAGATGATTCTTGACTGAAAGTGAAGTCTACTTTTTGTAAAATTCTGATTGTATTAGAATTCTAATTCTAATTTGATTTTCTGTGTTTTGTTTTTTTTTTAATTTTCCAGTGTTCTAATATTAATTTCATCACTCCAGGGTTCAGCAGTTGATTCTGAGATGGTTCTAAGATTAAAATATTCTATTGTTCATAGGGTTCTAAGATTCCTTGTAAAATTCTGATTTCTTAGGTTCATTCTCAGATGGTTTTAAGGCACATTTTAGGCTCTTATGTTGTTTTAGTTTCTTCTAAGATTGATTGTAGAAATCCAAGATTGGTTCTAAGGTTGTAAAGGTGATTTGTGAGATTTTAAGGTTGATTTTTAAATAAATTCTAAAATGATACTAGGCAAAAAATGACAAAAATTTTATTTTAAGATAACTGTCAGGTTGATTTCCAGGGTATACATTTTAAATGATATTATTCTAAAGATTCTAAGAGTGAGTCATAGTTTTTAAAGTTACTGTAAAATTCAAATTTTGGATAGGATTCTAATTTTTATTTTAGTACTATTTAAGAGTTTATACTGAGATGATTCCAAGAGTTGATTTATTAAGGGGTTCTACTGGACGTTTTCTTATAAAATTCAAAATTTGAAGAGGTTCTAAGATTGATTCTGAGGTTCCAGTGTTGATTCTAATGCCATCGGGTTGTTTGATCGGTTGTAGTATATCAAGGTTGATTCTGAGCTGGTTCTAAGATTCTGCGTTTGATTATGTGGTTCTAAGATGAATTCCAAGGTTCTAAAGCCTCATAATCCAGAGAAGAGGTAGACAAAAACAGGGCTGTGTTTAGAGTCATGCATAGCTTCAGCATCCAGTGTAAGAGAGGAAGAGAAGGCCACGGGAAGGGGCGGCAAATGTTTCCCTGCTCCTAACAATAACTTTATTTCTCATGGAAGTGTGTGTGTGGGAGAGGGGGAGAAGCGGAAGAGAATGACCCATGTGTGTGTGTGTGTGTGTGTGTTTTCTCTCCTTTGTTGTTTCCTTGCAGGCTGAGTCACCACTGGAGTGTCTGAAGGGTCGCGAGAGAGAAAGTGAAGGAGGAGGCTGAGACGTTACATCACAACGTGGCAGAGAAAGTGAGAGGAAGAGTGTGAGAGAACAGGAGAGCAGAGCGAGACGGCCGTAAGGGAGAGCGAGAGAGGAAGTCGAGCACTGGACTGACCCTTGAACTCTGACCTCGGAGCCAACATGAACGACCAGAACGTAGTGAAAGAGGGATGGGTGCAGAAGAGAGGTGAGAAACAACAGCACTGAAATATTGATGTATTAATGAGTGTGTTTTCTAGAGCCCGACCGATATATCGTTTTGCCGATATTATCGGCCGATATGAGCCTGTTGCCGATATATAGGTCTCTGCGAATATGCCGCCGATATGAACATTTTTTTTACAGAACATATAACGCAGATAAAATGCTTGAAAGAAGTGAAAGTGTTGACTGGTGTCACTATCTCGCGAACGCACTGGCGAATCCGCACCAAATTCGGGGGATCCCTTCAGCTCGAGGAACCCTCTCGAACGCGAATCGAGTGTACGTCTAGAGGCCCGCTTTCGAATGAGACCACTCGTGGAGGGTGGCGTTCGAGAGGGCTCCTAGAGCTGAAGGGATCCCCCGAATTTGGTGCGGATTCGCCAGTGCGTTCGCGAGATAGTGACACCAGTCAACACTTTCACTTCAGCAAGGACTTCTTCAGGCAGCAGCATTCAAGCGTTGTCTTATTCGACCGTAAGTGCCCTGCGAAGTGGACTTCACATGATATTATCTGTGAATGAATGTTCCGAAGTGAAATAAACTTTAACGGAATAAAGTTGAATAGAATTTAATTTAATTAAAGTTGAATAAACTTCAACTTTACTGTTCAGTGCACTGATGTCAGACTCATTTTGGATAATAATGTTTATTGTTAAATTGTTAATAAATGCCCTGCTTCCATTACGTATCTCTGTCACATCATTATAAGTGTTTGATCACCACATCTGAGTGATCACTGCAAATAATGTGTTTATGTATATATATTCTGTTTATGTATATACTGTATTCTATATATAGTACCAGTCAAATGTGTGGACACACGAATGGGAAAGTGTCCAAACTTTTGGCTGGTACTGTGCTACAATATGCACAAAGAATATCGGCCGATATATTGATATAGGCCTTTTTTTACTCCCTAATATCGGTATCGGCCCCAAAAAACCCATATCGGTCGGGCTCTAGTGTTTTCATTTGTTGATTGTGTTATGCTGCTGTGTCTGTGAGTATTGCATGTGTTAGTGTTTTTCTGTGTGCTTGATCGTGTGGGGGTTTTATTGGTTTTGCAGGTGAATACATTAAGAACTGGAGACCGCGGTACTTCCTGTTAAAGATGGATGGGTCGTTTATTGGATATAAAGAGAAGCCGCAAGATGCAGATCTGGCTTATCCACTCAACAACTTCTCTGTGGCCAGTGAGTCTCTTTCATTCATTTTAAACAGGGTTATTGTCGTTAACTGCAAATAAAACCATAAAAAATGAAGTACAAAATAACACAAAGAAATTGAATAAAACTAAACCAAGATGGAAAAAATACATGAAAAGTAAAATAAACTTAAAATACAATAACTAAATAAAGCTATAAAAAAAAATGAAGTAAAATTAAAATAAATTTCACAAAAAATAAATTGAATAAAATTAATCCAAAATGAACAAATACATGAAAAATTAAATAAACTTGAACCAAAATGAAACTTATTTAAGCTGTTTGCCATAAGAACGTTCTCATTTTCATTTAGTTTAACATTATGTACTAAAATTTTAACTGATAAATAAAAATTTATAAAAATATATAAACATAAAAAACAAAAACTAATAAAAATGTCAAAAACACAAAAATTACTCAAATTTAATAGCTAAAAAAAAAAACGAATTCAAAACTTTAATAGTATCTCAGTGATACTAAAATAACACTGCTTTATAATGACCCATTAATACTGTGGGGGGGGGGAAATATATGAAAAATCAAGGAAAATATTTACTTCTAGTGTATGTTTTCTGTCAGAATAAAATAAATAACGAGTGATCAACCTCAAGATTTTCTACCAGTGTTTTGAGATAAATTATTTATTTACATTTTTTAGTTTATTTGCCCTGCGCTTTTTAAATGTATGATATCAGTGTGTGGTGTTCTTGGTAAACCCATCAGGTCAGTGTTACTGTTCTCCAGATCCATGATTCACTTCATTCCAACTGAATTAATTAGAGCGTCACGTGCTGACGTCATCAACACGAGTCTGCCGCTGTAATTTGAGATGATGACATCTTTATTGCACATGCATGAATTCCATTATTCAACGTGCATCCTCCTCATTGCTCAGAGTGTCAGCTGATGAAGACGGAGAGACCGAAGCCCAACACCTTCATCATCAGGTGTCTGCAGTGGACCACTGTGATCGAGCGCACGTTTCACGTGGACACGCCTGACGAGAGGTACCACACGCCCAAATCAAATTATGTTTAACATGCACTAGCAGCTTTAGTAAAAATCAAAATAGGACAATCGAATATCGAAAATGGGCAAAGAGGCGGGAGTAGGTTGCTGAAGCCACGCCCACCTAGGTCGACGGTGGTGACAGCAGCGGCAATCCACCTGTCACTCAAGTGGCCACGCCCTTAATTATGCAGGACTTTAAGGCTTAATATAATTTAAACGGATGAGTTATAAAAAAATTCACCCCCCTCACAGTTGTCATGAAGGGCAAAATTAGCTATATAGACCAAAATCATTTTTTGAACCAGGCTGTAAACATGTTTTTTTCTGCTGTAAAGTTGGGCATTTTAACATGGGGAGTCTATGGGATTGATGAATTACAGTTTAAGTCACTTCCTTGTTGGCTTCACGAGAGAGAGCGGGAGGTTGCCGCTTGGTCACAATGAGCAAACTTTCAAAAACGAGTAAGCATATTTTATTGGATTGTACTGTTTTTAATGTAAATAGACAACGGTTTTATTCAGAGGTGTGTTTAACTGATTTATTTCAAAATGTATCACCTGAATGTTTTTTTGAATTTTTGTCTAGTGTAGATTTGAAATGTCTTTTAGAACCTTTTGTTAATTGTATACCTTGTATAATTTATTCAGAGATCGCCATGAAAATAGCCTTGATGCTGGCATGGCGTTAAAAAGTGAATAAATAATAATAATGATAATTCAAAAATCGGTTATTTTTATTTTATTTTAATTTCTGAATTGGACGAAAAATGACTGAGCTACACCTGCTTGAAGTCATTGAGTCAGCAAAGTCAAATTAGAGAAAAACTGATTTAAAGTTTTCTGAAGGTTCCAAAGCAAAATCACTTTGGAACATCTTTTCCCCCACTTCTTTTCTTAATAGTCATTACTAGATTAATAATCACAATATGGCTATTTTTTATTTTATCTTTGTTATAAATAAGAACCGATGCAAAAAATAAACAAATATAAGAAAGAAACAAGTGTATCACGTATGCTCATGGGTCAAAGACGAACAAGGATTTAAGCATAAAAACAATGCTGCTTTAAATTGTTGTTTTTCCAAAAAAATAAAAATTTTAAAATTAAAAAGTTTTCTGTTTAATGTAATTGTATTTTTTTGTTTTTGTTTTTCTGAGCAAAAAATAAATATCATACATTTTCCCTGATTTACAGAAGAGACCCACTAAAATGTCATTCAGTGTAACAATCTTGTCAGGCATATTTACAACAAAAATCAATTTATGACATATTAAAGGACTAATTACTTTCACCCCAAATACTAATTAGTTGTCATTTTACATTGTTAAAATGTGCTACTATCCTAGGTTATGCCCATTTGTCAGTAAGAATTTTTTACTCATTGAAAACACAATCAAATTTAATATGCTCCCTTATTCTTTTATATATTTTAATATGTACACGTCAGAATAAGCAGTGTGTTTATTAAAAAAATTTGATTATTAAAACTGCAAAAGCAGTTCAATCAAGCAGCGAATGATTTCCTCTTTTCTTTTCTTTTTTGATCAACGTTAATGAGACAGACAGTCTATATTAAAGGGGTCATATGATGCTATTTTAAAGATCATTATTTGGTGTAACAGAATATATCGATTCTTACATCTCAAGAATCGATTATTCTAGCCTGTTTTCAGTTAATGGACAGAACATTGAGGGGCACTTCCCATACAATACATCGCAATAAGCATTGTGCTTTGTACTTTTAATATGAAACAAAGTCTCAGATTTCAAATTCTGTCCATTGTATTTCAGTATTCAAATGATAAATGCCGTTTTGGCGCTGTTTAATGTGGAGTGAACAGATTGCTGTAGCGCCTCAGTTCAACAGACGTGAACTGATCATCACCTCCACTTTAATACCAGTTTCAGCACAAAATAAACATGACTAAACATCCGAAGGCAAGTTAAAAGAAAGAGTACA